ACAGATCCCTCGATGACGCATGACTTTCTTGGGTATCCTGGGTGGGACTAAACCCTCCGGGGTTAAAAATCCGAACGAAATCTTATCTTATCTTATCTTAATAATGATGGAGTGATAATAATGGTGGAGATAATAATGGTGGAGTGATAATAATGGTGATGATAATAATGGTGGAGTGTTAATAATGGTGGGATAATAATGGTGGAGTGATAATAATGTGAGGAGATATAATGGTGAGTGATAATATTGGTAGGTGATAATAATGGTGGAGTGATAATAATGGTGATAATATTGGTGGAGTAAAACATGATAATTATGGTGGTGTAATATGGGTGGAGTGGATAATAATGGTAGGATAATAAATGGTGGAGTGATATAATGGTGATAATAATGGTGGAGTGATAATAATGGTGGAGCAATAATGGAGTGATAATAATGGAAGTGAAAAAAAGGTGGAGGTGACTATAATGGTGATAATAAATGGAGGTGATAATAATGTGGAGTGATAAATAATGGTGGGTGGATAATTTTGGTGGTGATAATAATTGGTGTTAATGTGTGATAATAAATGATAATAATGGTGTTGATAATGGTGGAATTGATAATATTGGTGGTGATAATAATGGAGTGTAATAATGGGAGTGATAATGGTGGAGTAATAATAATTGGTGGAGGTGATAATTAATGGAGTAATGTGATAATAATGGTGATAATAACGGTGGAGTGATAATAATGGAGTGATAATAATGGTGGAGTGATAATAATGGAGTGATAATGGTGGAGTGATAATAATGGAGTGATAATAATGGTGGGCGATAATATGGAGTGATATAATGGTGGCGATAATAATGGAGTGATATTAATGGTGGAGCGATAATATGGAGTGATAATATGGTGAGTGTAATAATGGTGGGAGTGATAATAATGGAGTGATAAAAATGGTTGGAGTGATAATAATGGAGTGATTAATAATGGTTGTGTGAGCGTAATAATGGAAGTGATATAATGGTGGAGCGATATAATGGATTTTTTTTTCCAAACCTTTTTTTTTATTTTTTTTTATTTTTAGAGTGAAATATAATAGGTGGAGCGATAAATAATGGTGGAGCGATAGTAAGGGAGTGATATTAATGGTGGAGTGATAATAATGGTGGAGTGATAATAATGGTCGAGTGATATTAATGGTGGAGTGATAATAATGGAGTGATAAAATTGGTGGAGTGATAATAATTGTGATAAAATGGTGGAGTGATAATAATGGTGATAATATGGTGGCAGTGATAATAATGGTGATAATAATGGTGGACGTGATAATAATAGGTGGAGTGATAATAATGTGAGCTTAATAATGAGTTGATAATAATGGTGGGTGATAATAATGGTGGAGTGATAATTATGTTGTGGAGCGATTAATAATGGAGTGATAATAAGGTGGAGTGATAATAATGGTGGAGCGATAATAATGGAGTGATAATAATGGTGGAGTGATAATATGGTGGAGTGATAATTAAAGGTGGAGCGATAATAATGGAGTGATAAATTAAATGTTGGAGTGATAATAATGGTGGAGTGATATTAATGGAGTGATACTAATGTGGAGGCGATAATAATGGAGTGATAATAATTGGTGGGAGCGATATAATGGGTGATATAATGGTGGAGTGAAAATAATGGTGAGTGATAATAAGTGGGTGATATAATGGTGGTGATAATAATGGTGGTGATAAAATGGTGGTGATAATAATGGTGGTGATAATAATGGTGGTGATAAATAATGTGGAGCATAATGGTGTGATAATTATGGTGGAGTGATAATGGTGGTGATAATAATGGAGTGATAATAATGGTGGAGTGATAATAATGGTGGATGTGATAATAAATGGAGTGATAAAATGGTGGTGACTAATATGGTGTTAATAATGGAGTGATAATAATGGTGAGCGATAATAATGGAGTGATAATAATGGTGGAGTGATAATAATGGTGGAGTGATAATAATGGAATGATAATAATGGAGTGATAATAATGGTGATGATAATAATGGTGGTGATAATAATGGCTGGAGCTGATAAAAATGAATGATAATAATGTGGTGATAATAATGGTGGAGCGGATAATAATGGTGGAGTGATTATAATGGTTTTATAATAATGGTGATAATAATGGTGATAACTAATGGTGAGTGATAAAAAATGGAATGATAATAAAGGTTGTGATAATAATGGTGGAGCAATAATGGAGTGATAATAATGGAGTGAAAAAAATGGAGTGATAATAATGGTGATAATAATGGAGTGATAATAATGGTGATAATAATGGTGGGAGCGATAATAATGGTGGTGATAATATAAGTGAGAGATAATAATGGGATGATAATTAATGGTGGAGTGATAATATGGTGGAGTGATAATAATGGTGGAGTGATATAATGTTGGTGATAATAATTGAGTGGATAATACATGGTGGTGATATTGAGTGATAATAAATGGAGTGACAATAATGGTGGTGGCATAATAATGGTATGTGATAATAATGAGTGTTAATAAAGGTAGTGATAATAATGGAGGGATAATAATGGTGGAGTGATAATAATGGTGAGTGTAATAATGGTGGAGTGATAATAATGGTGGTGATAATAATTGAGTGATATATGGAGTGATAAAAGGTGGAGTGATAATAAATGGTGGAGTGATAATATCGAGTGGAGTGATAATAATGGTGGGAGTGATAAATAATGGGGAGTGATAATAATGTGGGTGATAATAATGGTGGTGATAATAATTGAGTGATATAATGGTGGAGTGATAATAATGGTGGAAGTGTTAATAATGGTGGTGATAATAATTGAGTGATAATAATTGTGGTGATAATGGAGTGATAATAATGGAGTGACAATAATGGTGGTGATAATAATGGTAGTGATAATAATGGAGTGAATAAAATGGTAGTGATATTAATGGTGGTGATAATAATGGTAGTGATAATAATGGAGTGATAATAATGATGGATTGATAATAATGGAGTGATAATAATGGTAGTGATAATAATGGAGTGATAATAATGGTGGAGTGATAATGGTGGAGTGATAACAATGGTGTGATAATAATGGTAGTGATAATAATGATGGAGTGAATTAATGGAGTGATTTTAATGGTAGTGATAATAATGATGTAGTGATAATAATGGTGGAGTGATAATAATGGTGGAGTGATAATAATGGTGGAGATAATAATAATAATTGTGGCCCGGTGGCCTGGTTGGTAAAGCTCCCGCTTCACACACGGAAGGCCCGGGTTCGATTCCCGGCGGGTCGAAACATTTCGACACGTTTCCTTACACCTGTTGTCCTGTTCACCTAGCAGCAAATAGGTACCTGGGTGTTAGTCGACTGGTGTGGGTCGCATCCTGGGGGACAAGATTAAGGACCACAATGGAAATAAGTTAGACAGTCCTCGATGACGCACTGACTTTCTTGGGTTATCCTGAGTGGCTAACCCTCCGGGGTTAAAAATCCGAACGAAATGTTATCTTATCTTATCTTAATAATGATGGAGTGATAATAATGGAGTGATAATAATGGTAGTGATAATAATGGTGGTGATAATAATGGTGGAGTGATAATAATGGTGGAGATAATAATGGTGGAGTGATAATAATGGTGGTGATAATAATGGTGGAGTGATAATAATGGTGGTGATAATAATGGTAGTGATAATAATGGTGGTGATAATAATGGTAGTGATAATAATGGTGTGATAATAATGGAGTGTAATAATGGTGGTGATAATAATTGGTGGTGATAATAATGGTGGTGAAAATAATGGTAGAGTGATAATAATGGTTGTGATAATAATGGTGGTGATAATAATGGTGGAGTGATAGTAATGGTAGTATAATAATGGTGGTGATAATAATGGGGAGTGATATATGGTGGAGTGATAATAATGTGGTGATAATAATGGTGGAGTGATAATAATGGTGGTTGATAATAATGGTAGTGTTAATAATGGTGGTGAAAATAATGGTGGGAGTGATAATAATGGTGGAGATAATATGGTGGAGTGATAATAATGGTGTTTGATAATAATGGTGGAGTGAATAATAATGGTGTGATCATAATGGTGGGAGTGATAATAATGGTGGTGATAATAATTGTGGAGTGATAATAATGGTGGTGATAATAATGGTGGTAGTGATAATAATGGAGTGATAAATATGGTGGAGTGATAATAATGGTGGTGATAAAATGGTGGAGTGATAATAATGGTGGTTGATAATAATGGTGGAGTGATAATAATGGTGAGTGATTAATAATGGTGGATTGATATAATGGTGGGTGATAATTATGGTGGAGTGATAATAATGGAGTGATTATAATGGTGGAGTGATAATTATGGTGAGTGATAATAATGGTGGAGTAATAATAATGGAGTAATAATAATGGTGGGGTAATAATAATGGAGTAATAATAATGGTGGGGTAATAATAATAATGGAGTAATAATAATGGTGGGAGGGACAATATAAATGTTGGACATTTAAAGACATCACAACGTTAGTGGTTGAAACGTTCCCTGGCTTATAACCCGAGTTGTGGCACCTACCTGGGTGAGTCCACGCCCTCCTGGCTGCCCACACTCACACGGCAAGGTCACCTCCTTCCTGCTGGATCAAACTTACCAAGGAAGGCACAAATAACACAATATAAGTGAGAAACTTGAGCAAAGTTAGTGAAGGATACAGCGTCAGCGTGGCGTCCTGCAGCTCTGACCAATGGCAGCCACAGCCTCTCATAACCCAGCCAATCACAGCCCAGATCTCCAGAGCAATATTCTTCTCAGCCAATCACAAGACTTTGATTTGTTTTGAATGTGTTGTATGCAAAAGTCACAGATATTACGCATCTTTATCTCTGTGTTGAGAGTAGTTTGTGGTAGGTTATTATTGGGTAGTTAGTGAGTGGAAGGTGTTGTAGAGTGTGTGCTGGTGGAGGATACAGGTGAGACAGTGATAGTTGTGGTACTAGTTGACTGGTGGCGGTCATGAGGCTCAGGTTTGAATCTGTAGTGTTAGTTGACGCTCAGCCATGACTGAGTGAGGTGCTGCTCCTCGCTCCTCTCTACTCTACTCCAGGACCTGTTTTTTTTTTAAGGTTGTACGTAAGAGTCGCCTTCGTCTCCGTTTTTTTGTGTGTTATGATGGTGTTTAGCAATAAGGAATGTGTGTATTAACTGGTTGATGGTTGCAAGACAAGGTTGAGCAGCGTGTGGGTTGAGTGACAGTTGACTCTCAGAGCTGCCACTTAAACTTAACCTTTAATTTTTTTTTTATAAGTGTAGTGAAGCCTCTATTTTTTTTTCACTATATTACACCTGCCTACTGACTTCCGCTAGGCCTACACAATTAACAGCATCACTTACCAAAGAATTATATTAAAGCGCACGTTATGGTAGCACTGAAAAAAAAAATTTAAATTTTAATTCGTTTTAGCGCCTAGTTCAGATTATTGAGTGAAATTAATAAATATACATGTAAATTTACATTAGTGTGAACTTAAAATTAATGTGATGTGAACCCCCATTGGAATTTTTTTTTTTTTTTTTTGGGGGGGGGAATATTGAGTTGCCATATAACTTTTATATATTAATTTTATATATAATAATGTGGGTGGCGGGGGTGTGGGAGAACATTGTCTTGTTGACCTGAACAATGGTGTGGTAATACCCACAAAATATGGGGGAAGAAACTACATTTCTGTACAGATGAGGTCATTATGAGAGGAAACGTTACTGCAGGACTGAAGCAGCCACGAGGGGCGAAACGTTCCTCAATGATACCCAAGTGTCGCACATGTGTTAATTTGTTATAAAATATTATGATATAATACACTTGTGCTGGGACTAACAATATCTTAGTGATTTTGTTTGGTTATTCCAGATAATTTACTTATAATTGTACTTATGTACTTGTGTCCATATAAACTTACTAATAGCAGCCTAATTATTCCACAAGTCAGTAATACTTGTAACAATAAAAATAAATTGAGTAACTGCATGATATCAATTACAGTAGAAGGATATAATAGGGATAAACTAGGCAGCTTACTTAAACATTAAATAAACTTAATAGGTGCACATTTTAACCATATATCGCTTTTCTCCCTTTCTGTAGCTTTATTTCCCCTCAAGGAAGGTTCCTTGATGTTGGTCAGGGGCTCTTGATTTAGGGAATTGGATCTGTGCTCCAGTTCCCCGAATTAAGCCTGAATGCCTTCCACATCCCCCCCCCCAGGCGCTGTATAATCCTCCGGGTTTAGCGCTTCCCCCTTGATTATAATAATAATGTAGCTTTATTTATTATGAACTTTTTAACTCTGTATATCCTCATGAATATTCTTCAATATACGTTAGCGTAATATGTACAGTATATATTACCTTTTAGCTATCTTCCTGAATTGGCAGTAAATGTTAAGACTGACCTTAATATGTTCAGGTCATCTCTTCTACTCCATTATTGCTGTATAATAAAAGGTACAATAACCCACACATAAGGAGAAAGAAGCTTATGATAACTTTTCGTCCAGCTTCAGCCATTAACTAGCCTTGCCATTTAATGGTCTTAGTCTGGACATTGTCATAGTTTTTCTCCTATTTTACCTTACTTTTGATGAGTTTCGAGTGTCTCGCTATTCTCTGAGCCCGGTCATGGGCCAGGCTCGTCTGGTGTTTCCCTGGTCAATCAAACTGTTGCTGATAAATTAGACACATGTGCAACTCTTGGGTATCTTTATTGAGGAAACGTTTCGCCACACAGTGGCTTCATCAGTCCATACAAAGGAGAATCTTGAAGAACAGGAGGAGAATGAGGTAATCACCCCCCCCCCCCCCCCCCCCCCCCCCCCCCCCCCCCCCCCCCCCCCCCCCCCCCCCCCCCCCCCCCCCCCCCCCCCCCCCCCCCCCCCCCCCCCCCCCCCCCCCCCCCCCCCGTCCCTCAACCTTGAGTCGATGTGGTCAGTCCATCAATCTTGAATAGAATACGGCATACATAAGAACGAAGGAACACTGCAGAAGGCCTACTGGCGCATGCGAGGCAGGTCCAAGTCTCCTACCGGCTTAAGCCAATGCACCCAACCTAGTCAGGTCAGGTCACATTGACTTAAGGGAGGAACACGGCAACCTGACCTGGTTGCTCAAGTATCAGGTCTAACTCACACCACCCACATCTACTCATGTATTTTATCCAACCTATTTTTAAAGCTACACAACGTTCTGGCCTCTATAACGGTACTTGGGAGTTTGTTCCACTCATCCACAACTCTATTTACAAACCAGTACCTTTCCTATAATACTTCTGTTTCATGAATTTTTCCAACTTAAAACCATTGCTGCGAGTCCTGTCTAGGCTAGTATTTGTCAGAACACATTTACATCCCCCTTTTTTTATTCCTGTCTTCCATTATACTACTCTATCAGATCCCCCATAAATTCTACGTCTTTCTAGGAGAGGAAGTTCAGCCATTAGTCTTTCCTCATAGGGAATGGTTTCTGATACAATGCGGATCATCTTTGTCATCCTCCTTTGTTACATTTTCTGAGAATATATTTTCCTATGACTACGGTGACCTTAAACTGTGCAGCATAATCTAAATGAGTGCCTACTAGGATGTATAGAGTTGAAGAACAACCGGAGGAGCTATTATTTATGATTCTTGATATGATGCCAAGGATTCTATTAGCTTTATTGAGACTCTTATGCAATGTTGTATTGGTTTCAGATTACTTCTTTTCCAGAAACTCTTAATCTTTTTCGCAATCCGTAATATTTAAGAATATCATTATTTCGTTTATATATGGCATGGTTATTGTCTGTCCAACATTAGCAACTTTGACATTTGTCTATATTAAATGAATCTGCCACTTCTCGACCACTGCCATCTGTCTATTCAAATCTTCCTGGAGTGCTCAAATGTCCTCGTCAGAATGAATTCGACGGCCTTTTTTGGTGTCTCATCGGCAAACTTGCGATGTCGCTCTTTATGCCCTCATCTTATGTCGTATATGTTAGATTATGAACAGCCAGGGGGCCATACACTGGACCCTGTGGATCAACCGTCGTGGACGCTTCCACCACTCTGATTTATCCCATTTATGCAATCTCTCTGCTGCCGTTTGTCAACAATGCCTTATCCAGAAAAAATTTTCATCCTATTCCATGTGATTTAATTTTCCTCAATAGTCTCTGATGTGGACCCTGTCAAAAAGCCTTACTGAAGTCACATATAAAATTATCATATTTCATTACCATGATCTACCTCCTCAAATACCTTAGTGAAAAAGATAATTAAATCGTAAGGGCGGTACGGCCTTTGTAAAACCTTGCTGAGATTCGTTGATTAATTTATGCTTTTCATGATGGTTCGAACTGCCTCGGCAATTATTGATTCCGTAAATTTTCCCACTATGGAGGTTAGGGGCTCATTGGTCTATAGTTCGAAGCTAAGGACCTGTACCTGTTTGAAAATAGGTATCACATTTGCCCATTTTCCCCACTATATGGCACCATGCATGTTTGTAGTGATTGTGAAATGATTAGCCTAAGGTTTGTGCTAAGCTCCTCTTTACATTCCTTTTGAACCAGTGCATTACAGTTCATCAGGGCCTGTGGATTTGTTTGGTTTTAATTTATCTATTTGAATAGTGACCATGTCACTTGTGACCATAATTGTGACACAGTTTATTTTAGTTACCGGGTCTAACATAACTTTTTCATTAATGGGATATCGCTGGTTTACCTCCTGTGTAAAAAAAATGAGAGGGAGTATGTGTTAAAAATTCTACACATTTTACTTATCACTGTCAGTGAGCTGACCCGAGGAACTTTTGAGTGGGCCTATCTTGTCCCTGATCTTACTTCTGTATTTACCTGAAAGAAATCCTTTTTGGTTAGTCTTCGATTCTTTTGCAACTTTTAACCTAATAATCTCTTTTTGCTTTTCTAATTCCGTTTTTTATTTTCTCTTTAACTGAATATATCGATTTCTTAATTGCCCTCTCTCTTTTGATTTGCCTATATATGCCTCTCTTTTGACCTATCTCAGATATTTTAATTATTGTTCATCCATTTAGGATATTTTCGTTTGATTGATTTCCTGTTTGGAACATATATTTGACTGAGCGCTAGAATTATGCCCTGGAACGCATCATATCGGCAACCATCACCACCTACCGACCCTTAGTCTGGTCATTCCAGTTCAGCCCACCTAAGTAATTTTTAAGTCCTATGAAATAAGCCAAGCGAAAGTCAGGGAGGATACTTGATTGCATTTATTAGGGGAATTTCCATTATATGTTAAAATGAGTGATTTGTGTTCACTCTCCCCAAGCTCAGCATTAACATCAAGTTTATTAAATTAGTGTTTCCCTACTGGCAAGAACCAAGTCAAGGAGGTTATTTCACCTAGTTGCTCTGTCACAAACTGTTTTAAAAAACAATCCTGGATCGTATCAAAAGAAAGTCACACGACTCTAAATTTCCAGTCAAATTGCTCCAGTCAAATCTGTCTATAGTTGTTATCTCCATTAGCACAAACATTTTGTATGTTGATGCCTACGAATTTCGTCCCATGAAGTTTACTGCACTCCTCTATCGAGATTTGGGGCCTGTAAATCACCACCAAAAATTAGTTTTTCTCGGCCCTCGCAGAAGCTGAACCAAACAGATTCAGTGGCTGACGCTTTACTAATTTAATATCCTGTCTAACTCAATTTAAATTGTCTCCTGACATAATCGTACTCCTCCACCTTTCCTGTTGACCCTGTCAGTGTGGAATAAATTAATAGCCTTGTATGTGACATTCCGAGGAGCATCTCTCTATCTTTCAGATTGAAGCCAGGTCTTCTGTTATAGCAATATTTATATGTTTCCTGCACTTGCAATTAATCTTGCTCATCAAATCTTTTTTAACACTCCTGCTATTAGTATAGAAAACCCCTTAAGGGAGCTAGTCCCTTGCTGCCCTCTCTCCCCCCTTTGTTGCTGACCTGTTTTTTGTCTTTTTTTTAAAACTTCATCTGAATGCCTTTTATACATTTACTGTTTCCAAACCCCATGTTGCAACCTGTTGTTTCCCACACACCCCCATCCCTCTATTTTCCC